TGCAAGCATTGTAGAAAAGATAAAAATCTATGATAATACAAATAGGGATTTTAGTTATTAGAGTTAATTAGCTATCTCTTGTGAGTATAGTTGTCAGTTGGGTAATATCTCCTTGTAAGAGCATTGTCTTATCACAACTTTTAATTAATTTTTTTCTTTTCTTTTCTCTCAAAGAAATAAAAAAAATGTTTCAACAGCAGAAAGAGAGGCCAAAGAGGAGGAAGAGAGGGGCATGGTGGCATTGGCCTGGGCAGTGGATGTGGTGGCCATGCCCACCATGTCACCTTAAATTGTTATTAGAAATATTAAAATAAAATTAACTTTCTCTCAATCATTTTATAAATGTCATTGCAGCAGATGAATTCAGCTAAAACCACAAATAATAACTTCTTCCCAAGCCTGAGGGCCATACTGGAGAACATTTTCCTGAATTCTTACAAAAACAACTGATGGCCAATATTCCTCAGTAGAACTCGAGCAAGCAAAGTTAGCAAGTGATTCATTGTATTGCACTTGAAGTAAACTTTTTAATTTTAAAGTTGGTGCCTTTCAAAACAAAAATACATGGGTTATGATCATTTCAGTGGAAATGGCGTACAAGGAAAAGTACCAAACAAGTAAGAACCAAATCAGTGCTGGTATTTACCTCTAAATTACCTTGCCATATAGTAATGCAAATTAAAGTTGATTTTCCTAACTGTTAAAAAATGGTATAGCTCCTAGTAGTGAGGACACAACCTATCACCAAACCCAGCATTTTGCAGAATTACGGGAGTCTTAGAGTAAACAATTGATAACTAATTCAGTCACTTATTCTAAATCTTTCACCAGGAAGGCCTGGCTTGGATAAATCTCAATAGAATCGAAAGCCATCAACCATCATACACATGTCAAGGGAGAATGCCTATGGACATTCCACCACACAGGCTGATTTATGCATCGGTGCCACTGACTTGTGGGGCAGCGTCTGTAGTACATTGTACTACCCAACTACATACCTCAAAACGGCTATCTCACAGTTTCCACAATAACTTTGTTCCTCATCGAATTGTTGAGGGCCATAGATCGCGAAAACATGAAAGGTTTACTAAACGACAGTTCCAGGAATTAACATATAAATTGGTATCAAGGGTAAATCATTTAAATAGCAACTTTTGTCATCGTCGTTAACAGTATTTAGCAATACGCGTCAGTCACAAAAAAAAAAAAGAGGCTAACTGACCAGAGCAACGAAAGGAATAATTTTCACACGACTCCTCGCTGATCACGCTGCGAACTTCTTTGTACTTACCTCTTCTGAATGAGTTGAAGTCGGTTGTAAAGACTTGCAAGAAAAACTCCACCCTACGAAAGGCTAGCTCAAGATTTCGAATACAAAATAGAACTATTACGGCTACTGGAAGGAATAAAACGGGGCATTTGTGTTTCACATGGAAATATGAAGTGAAGATGAACTAATTTACGATTGCAGGGGGCATTCTGGGAAAGCTACACGCAAGCTCTGATTGGAGCAATAAAGAGGTGTGACGAAGGTGTGTCCATAACCATGGTTACGAAATTGAACTTTCCAATATGGCAGAATACTGCAGGAGGGAAAATAGTTACTCGTGTATTTGCTTCGCCTGCAACTGATGGATAAACATATAATGCGGATATATTGCAACAGCATCACATGGATAAACATTTTTATCTCCGAAACGTAATTTATTGGCACCACTACCGTAAGTTAATAAAATATTCACAATTCTTTACCAAGTAATAACTCGTCTAAACCAGCTTGCAAAATTTGAGACCTACTTCTCTTTCTGGTTTCTTAACGTAAAGGAATATTGACATGTGTTGTTTCAGGAAATATTGCAGCCTTCCTATGGCAGCCAAGTTGTGAATAGTGTATACATGTATCTTAATACACAGAGCAAGAACGAAAACCAAGGGCAAGGATCTGGAGTTAGTTAAGATTATCGATACATGCGACAGTTGAGCAAACGAAATTTTTCCAGTTGCAGTCAATATCAATATCTGCTGAAACAACACAAATCAAACTTTTTTGAGGTTAAACAAAAGAACTATAAAGTAGAACATCAATCAAAAGTTACACAGTTCATAGGTCATGAGTGAGAGCTAATGAAAGAAGTACATTTGTTCTAAAACCCTTCATTTCTAGTAACAGCCAATAACTTACTAAAATTATATGCGGTTGCTCTTGCATATGTAATCAGACTACATTGTAATAAAAATAGTTCAGAGACTGCTAATGCAGGACTTGCTTTATGTGCTGCCTGATATAAAACCCAAGAAACACCCAGTGATAAAAATCGGGAATGTATTTCCCAACCAAATACAATGGCAC